ATAATATTTTAGTTAATTCTAAATTAATCACTTCTTAAATTGATTAGAAATAATTATTCATATTTAATTATGAAAAATTATAAATAATACAAATTTCAAAGTTAAAATTATTTAAAAATTTAATTTGCTAATTTATTTGATCTATTAAAATTTTTATTAATCAATTAATGGTTTTACTACTTTTTGTGCAACACAACTCTACCTTATCTTTTTCCCAAGAAAGAAGAAGATAAAGTCATTGGAGATCCACACTCTGCACTGCGCAAGCCTTGACGCACACGCGTCTTCATGACCTTCCACACTCGCCAATCGCCCGCATCACTTTCTAGTCACCTGATCCGGGTTAGTGGGTCGGTTCGGGTGAACCATGCGGGTCATGTACGAGTTGAGATTCTTGACCCGTTTGTAAAATCGGGTCGAGTTAAGGTCAACCAATTTAGACGGTCAATTCGGGTTGGAACCGAACACGGCCTTAAAACCCATTTTGACACCGATAAGGCTAATGCTCAGTCTAGTTCGAGCAATAGAAGGGCGAGGCAATATTAGGGTAATCATAAGTGACGTGAAAGGACAACCTAATGATGGTGGCCGAAGCAAGCAGGAGTGCAACCGAGTCTAGTCGAGTTCGATTAAGGCCTTACTCGAGCTCAACTCGCCAGCCAAAATTTTGAACTCGAAGTCAAGTCTATCTTAAAAGGCGACCTTGTGCTCGGCTCATGCCACTAAAAAAAGGCTTGATTACGCGGTTAGAGTTCTAATCAGCACGCCAGCCGCCCCCCGCACAAGCATGTCACATGATTCCACTGTCCTGTCTCCCAACGAGTAATCGAGGTGAGCATTTTAAAGATCGAACTCAAGCTCAATAAGCCGACAAGCCCGAAATCTTGGTCGAGCTCAAGCTTGAAACTCGATAAACTCAAATCATGAGCTAGTTAATTAATAAGTCGAGCTCAAGTTGGGTCGCGAGTTGGCTTGCTTTGGTAGCACCCCTATAGGAGCAAGAGAGAAGACAATATTGAGTGCCAAGTGCTTGATATAAAAAGTTAAGACAAATTAGTGTGGGATAAGCCCAACAATCATGGGACATGATAGTATTGATGATAATGATGATAATTAATCTTACAAATAAATAAATAATTAAAAGGCAAAATTTTAAGAAGGATCATATTTTAAAAGTAATCAAGTGATTGGAGCGTAATTGAGAGAAAATTTAAAAAGAATAAAAATGCAAAGCAAAAGTAGGTTTTACATAAAACCCAAAATATTTTTATTTTTTAAAACGCAGAAATAACTTACGTTTTTTAAAAAAAA